CCGGTCTGTGGCTACCTGAACTGGATTTTCTCACTTTGTGAATGCACAATCAGATCGGTATGCGCCTGTCCAAGATTTGCACTTTATGTAAACCAATAATATTTGGACAGGAATTCATCAACCACCCTCTGTTAACAGCCCTGGAATTCCTGATGTAGAGATTTGCCCAGAGGGAAGACAGGTATCAGACAGGATATTGGAGAGCGGCCCGTCGCATCGCTAGTTATTGCAGTGCCAAGGCCGGAGGTTCTTTTCGATAGACAACATATTATCATCATGTACAACCGCTGTTCCCTGACAGTCTGTGGGTGCTGTGCCTTCCCTTCCTTTCATCCTTCCTCTCCTGTTTACTATCCACACCACAGTGCTAATGAACCTCACCCAGGAGAGTGAGAAGAGCGAAAACTCTGTGCACTTTGCAGTTGGCACCTGAGATACTATATGATAATGAAGGTCTCTTCGCTTGAAAGAGAACTTTTTGCTGCAAGTGGTCTTCTGACGGCGCACGTTGTTGCACCTGATTTGGAGGTGCCAGAGCCCAAAACCTTCCCACGAGCTAGCGGCAGCTAGCGAAGATCGTTCAATCCAATGATATGGGATGCATCCTTGTTGCCGAACTGGACAAGAGATCCAGAGCACCACCTGAGCTCCCCTGCAGTCGGTTGCCACCTGCCTTACTACTAGGAGCAAGGGCATCGCTACTAGGGGCGGCTCCTGGCCTTACTACTAGGAGCAAGAAGCTACTAGGGGCTTGCAAAGCTGCGAAGTTCCAGCTGCAGATCTTAGGCATGTCCAGCTTGGAGTCAAAGGGTGAGGACCTCAGTCTTCAAGGCTTGTGCTGCAGAGGTTGTCTCCTTTTAGCCCCTAGTCCTGTCTTTTTGAAAAGGGCTGAAGCTCAAAGGGAATCTGGGAGCCTTGGGTCATGTTGTCTCCGTCACACCATCGCTTCAACCGGTGTGTTTTTGGATCGCCAGGGTGCTGAAAATCTAAATGAAGCTGCAAACACCGGAAACCAAGATTAGAAATCGCAAAATAGAGTGCTTTGCTGGTCGGTGGGGAGGATTGCACTCAGAGTAGAAAGTCTTTACTCTGCACTGAGACTGGACTGCTTTGCCGAGGTTCTCGGGAAGAAATTCCTGAATGACGAGCCAACTGCTTTGCAGGTTCGAGCTTTGGGTACAAGATGGTAGAAGTGTCCACTGCTGGTCCAATACCAATACCGTACCTTGGCAGTTCCACTACCGCAACCTTGAAGTTTGTCTGACACGCACGCATCCACTCTCAACAGGAGTGATTTAGATCACAAAGTGGTTGATTCCAATTGCTTGGACTCTAGACCTCGCTTTCTTCGCAAAGCTAGGGCTGTCCATCTCGCACCACCGGAATGTGTACTTAGCAGCACACACAAGCACAACGTTTTAACCTTTAGACTTTTTTCTCAACCTCATCTATGCTGGAGACGCACATGCCAGCTAATCATATTCCTTCAGCCCCAGGAGGTGGACTCAAGCGCCGATGCTCAAGGTTTTGCCCTCGGCCACGTGTTTGCCTATGCAGACTTATATAAATGTTGCACCTACATTCTGCCAAATCATGCAGCCGGCTTCTTTTCCCACAAGTAAATAATTGTCTTCCAATCTGAGCTGAGAGTGTGGAGCCCTTCCAGCCAGCAATTCCGGGCCCCCCCCCCAGAGAAGGAAAGGAATTACTGTAGAATTTAGAACCATGCACCTGCCCACTTCTAGCTTATTTTCCGGAGTCACTTCAATTCCTCAGACATGCAGGAATCTGAAGATATCAATCAAAGCTGTTTTTGGCTTTGCTTAGTTAGAAGATTGGCATGTGGGTGACAGGTTCTTGACATTTCACATGGACCCACTGCGACCCACTACAGGGAAAGCCGGCGAGTGTCCACAGAAATTCAGTGGATCCAATTTCATATCTCCGGCTTTTTGCTATCACCTCGAAAGGAGCGTCGCTACTGGCTGAGGTCCAGCAGAGGTCCATGACCCCAGGAAGGGGCGGTCCGGCGGGTCCGGCAGGTCCTGGTCCCAGTCGTTTCGGCGGCTTCCCCAGACGGTTCTATAGCTACGTACGTTTGCAAAGGTGCTGTACATCAACCTATCACCACAAAATCGATTCACTTCAGGATGATTTTTGCTTGCAGGAAATAAGCCCTTTGACAGTTTGGGAAAGACACTGACCATTTCGCAGCAGACCTGGCCTTGTTTGAAGAGACAACTAGCTAGGCCTGCTAGGCTGTAGGGGACCGACCCCTCTCAGCCAGAAAGAAGAATCAGTATGTCAGTCCTAACAAGAACTATATGCCAGAGCTTCCTAGCAAACAATTACCAAGAAATGGCTCAGATTGGTTCTTCATTGCAAACTGTTTGACACAAACAGAACAAGGCTATGTTTTGCCGGACTGTGTTTCGCAGTAGGCTTGTTCAAAAATGTTCTCCTCGTTTCGTCAGCAGGGGCGGCTTATGCATGTCGTCGGACATTTTGTGGGTAGTTCTCAAGACCTGCAAGCGGCGATCCTCACAAGGAATCATTCTGTTGAGGGCTCGGGCATACAGCTTTAGTTTGTTAAAATCCGGGGGCGTAGGCCGCTAGAAGAGGTAGCTAGTAGCTTGAGTAAGCTACTACCTACTGGGGGGATAGCTCACGCTCACACAAATCATTTGGTTCCTGGATTTTTAGGGAACTTAACCTTGACCTTACTTCCGTTTCGTGGATACAGACAATGTTGGAAGATAGACAATCTTGAGCGCCATTTGAGGCGGCTGTCCAACCCAATGGACAGGCCTGCAGACCGCACAGACTGTGGGAGACAAAGACCATCTAAGCAGAACCTCAATCACGTGATGTTCTTGGAGGAATCTGATTGTAGATGTGTGATGGAGATGGTCATGATCTCTCTTTACAGCTGATGGGATGCGAGTTCTCTCACATCCCCATGCGGAAACATACCCCATATTCGAACAGTGCAAGGAGTACAGGATCTTTTTGGACCAAAGACATTCACCGTCCCTTTCCGGCCCTTCGACCAATTCCCAAATTGGAAACATCGACATTCCAAAGCGGCAAGTGGGAAGTCATTCCTCAAAACCGAACAGGCGAGGCAAAAAGGTTCTTTTTAAACGGGGGTAGGCCGTGGAGGTAGTAGCTCGGTAGCTAGTAGAAGAGGTAGCTAGTAGCTTAAGTAGCTACTAGTATGGACGCAGGATAGCTCACGCTAATCATGTGGTTCCTAGATTGTTAAGGAAACTTGACCTAATTTTGTGCCAAGCCAGAGAAGCATCAAAAGCATTTGGTGGAGTCGCAACTGTTGATTCGGCGAGGGCTCATCACCAAGCTCCTCTGAGACACCTGCAGCAGCAGAGGAGGAGCAGCCCGATCCTGTCCTGTGCAAAAAGGATGTTCTCCGACAAAAACCTGGATGATTAGCGTGGCACTTGTTTCTACTAGCGTGGCACTTGTTTCTACTAGCTTCTTGTTACTACTAGTAAGGCACTTGTTACTACAAGCGATTCACTTGTTACTACTAGCGTGGTACTTGTTTCTACTAGCTTCTTGTTACTACTAGTAAGGCACTTGTTACTACAAGCGATGCACTTGTTACTACTAGCGTGGCACTTGTTTGAATCCTGATGGAACCTGGATATTAATTACTGCTGTGGATATTGGTATTACTGCATTCTGGATGAACATTGCCGCACAACTGAGACAAACTGCCAAAATTGAGTACCCTGCAGGTAGTTTCTGGCAAATCGATTTCAGCCATCATGTCGTTCCATTCTATGTATATAATGTATGTAGCCAAGAGAAGGCCTGCTTTGAGGATGCCTTTGATCCAGATGGTGCTCGTGGAGTTGCTGACGCTCCACCCAGCCGCATCCTTGGGATTGGCTCACATTCAAGTTATTCTTGCAGATAGATAGGTACTACGGTAGACACCTTAAGTGAGTCACAAGGTGTGGAAAGCCCCAGGCACCAACAGCCCGAGGAGCATCCAGGTTGTTGGAAGGTAGGCTTGTCCTGGTCCCGTGAGCTCTGGAGGCCCCGGATCCTGGGCATCTTTTACAGAGGACAGCTCAGGGTGTGGGCTTGCTCAATCAGAAGAGAAATATAGAGAAATCACAAAAGCTGTGGGCCTATGGAACCCCATGACTCAATGACACACGGGTGTGTGGTCACCTATATATCCATCTCCCAGTTGACCTGCTGGAGATCCAGCATGGTCGATGCTGCGTGCTTGGGCCAGGAGACAAACTCGGGCTTTCCAGAGCCCACGGGAAACTTTGCCAGCTTTGCGTGCGCCCAGAGCTAGGGGGATCGGGTTTGCAGGGATTGGAAATAGTTGCTCATCTATAATCTACGCGGCCAAGTACAATCAAGTTGATAAGAAATGCCAACATGTTGATTGGGGCTGGATATAGGAAACCTACAAAAATTGCATACAAACTCACGAAACCTTTAAAAACATGTGTTGTTTTAGTTTTTGCCATACCACATATACTGATACTTGCATGAATCGAAAGGCCCGTTGAGAGCCCCGTAGATCAGTGGAAGTTGGTTACCCTTATGGTGCACTGAGCTATACTGCATCTATGCGTTTCCCATGTCCTTGCTAACAAGCCTTAGCACGAGCGTCCATGGAGTTTCTTCAGGACCGAATGGCCTGCAGATGCCTTCTCCGCGTCTGGAGCCTTGGGGAAGTATGAGGTCCCCTTTTCATGACGGCGGCGCACGACAGACTGGTATGGTGCCAAGATTCAACCCGGCTCTACACAACATGAGCAAAGCAGCTGAAACCCTGTGAATTTGCTTAGGGGTTAAGCATAGGAACCACCGTTCAATTCAACAGAGGAACATTTCTGGCAACCCAATCTCTTTGCATCCGTTCACTCAGTTTGCCACCACGTGCTTCCCAGGCCTAGCTCTCCGGGATGGGCCTCCTTTGAGGAGCCACCAGAGGCCTCGTCCAAAGTGGGCGGCTGAAACGAGAGAAGATCCACGGCTACGGCAGCTCACTTAAACATCGGAAAGCAAGATCGAGATCTACAACCTACAACCCATCACTGGTGCAGTGATGTGGTGTTCGGAGCTGACAGGCTCAAGAGAAGCACTAGCTGCGACTATATAGACTATAGTGACTAGACCAGGCTCATGGCTATGTTAAGGTTTGCTCTGGTGTCTTTGGGTGTGGCGGCTTTGCCACAGCTTCCTGCTGAGGATGCCGTCCCTCAACATGCAAGCTGTGACATGAACATTTCGCTTCAAGCAGAAGGTTTTCTGCATGAGTGGTGTAGCGGGGCAACCTCAAAAGAGCGTTTTCCTGCTTGCTACCCCAATGGAGTGCCAGATTGGCATCGAGAAAACAATGTCATTGTGCGCTTGCCAGATCCAAACAGTTGCTCTGTGGCTGTGTCAGAAGAATGGGTGATCTCAGGCTGGTCTTGGAAATATGTCCAGTTGGCACCTGGACAGTCTTTCAGTCTGAATGTCAGCGACTCCGAACAAGCCTTCTTGAAGTTGATCCGTGGAACGGTGCTTGATGTGAACCAGATTGGTGTGCAGAATGCCGAGGGGCACTGGGAGACTTTTGTGGTCACACCACCAAACACGGAGCGAAGCTTGCAGTTGGACCATCGCTTGAAATCTATCAAAGCAGGATCCGAAGGTGCGGTCTTTGCGCTCATGGTGGTTCCTGTGGAGCTTTTCAATGTGCCAATCACGGCTATGGATGCGGCTCCCACCACCACCATCAGCGGACCCTTCTCGGAACACTTCCAATGGACGAAGTTTGCCAACTACTTCCCGGAGGCATTCCCAGATTCCTTGGAGTTTTGGAATCTTGCTGGCATTTTGCTTCAAGATCATCATGGAGACCGCCTGAATTACAACCAGTGGTGGACTCAAAAGCAAACTGATGACACCGATGGAGGCTACCACAACCATGCAGGAACCCCACGGAATGGCACCTTCGGGGAGTTGCACATGGTCATGTACTCCGCTGCACCAAACACGGGCATGATTGTTCAGCTGCCTAGCACTGTGTACACAGAGACTGTGCATGCGCCCAAGGAAATCCCAGCGGACAAGAAGTTCTTTTGGAACAACCGAGACAATGACTATGTGCAGCTGACTCTTCCTTTGCCTCCAGGATATGTTCATGGCCCGCTCTGGTCCATCAATGTCACTGATGGTGAGCCAACTCGTGATTGCATGGGCGCCGTCCGCTATCCGTGGCATGGCTTGGTGACTGGTCCGATCAGTGCAACCCCAGGATCATCCTCTCATCCAGCGCGATACACACTGTGGGTCGTTTTTGAGCACGCCCCTGAGGTCATCACTGTGCCAACCCCAATGCTGCAATATGTGACCAATGCATATTTGCAGAATGTGGTGGACTGGCCCACCAAAGCCTGCGCAGCCCGTGAGGTCGAGTCAGACTTGGGGGAAGATCACAGAGATTCAAGCCACTCAGTCGGTGCAACCTTTCACGTCTTTGTGGCTTTGGTTGCTCTGGTGGCATTCATGAAGTGATCAGCCACCTCAGAGTTCACCCTTTAAGGGTCGAAGCTATCTTTTGGAGCCTACCTGTGCGTGGCCACTGTCAAGAGTGCAGGGGCTGCGAAGATTAGTGCATGCTTTGGCTGAGCCACGTGCCCTTGGTTCAAATCTTCTTCAACCCCTCCTCAAACCCTTAGCTTACAGTATGAACAAGGCACAGCCAAGTCTCCTGGCCCTTGTAGAGAGCATGTTTGCGTGGGCCATTGCGAGATAATTCATTCCTGTCGATACTTTAGGATTGGTTTCTCAGCTACAATCAGCAAGCGAAACAAGAGCCACTTCAGTTTCCATTTGTCCTTCATGCCCTCTTAGCGAGTCTTTTCCTGAGAGACGGTTTGCTTTTGCGCTTTCTGGAACAGTTGATTTGGATGAATTGAACAAGGATTACCTTATCTCTGGTCAGAGATTGGTTGGCCGTGGCGATGTTTGTGAAACTCCAAGTGCTCTGACTACATGATGGCAAGATGTTCTTGGGTGTGGTTGCAATATTACCCGTTTGATTCATTTGATCGTGCAAGGCGCAGGTGCCTGTTGCTGCGAAGCAAGAGAGGCACTCATGGCTTAGTTTGTTGATCCATTTGCGATGACTGATATTTGTTATCACAGGGCACAGTCGGAAAATATATGTACAGTAGATAGAAAGAGAGTGCTGCCATCATCATCACACGTGTCATAGCATGAGTTCTGGGTTTCACTATGTCAATTAATTCCGGCTCTGTGATTGCTATCGTGTGCTTTCATGTTACAGTATGTTGAGCTGAGTGAAGCTTGGCTTTTCAAATTACAAAATAATAGAGGAATGACAAAATTAGGAAAGTCCGCCCGCACCGAAGGTGCTGGGGCGTGTGTATCTGGATGGCATAGTCAATCGCAAGATGTCAGCTTTAGCTGTATCGGGCACGAAACCTGAGTTCTTGAAGGTTGTTGAACATCGAGTGCAAAAAACATCGTAAATAGCGGCGTTTGATGAAGGTGTTGGGTCAAAATGATTCAAAATGTTTGAGGCGTTCTTGAAAAAGTGCAAAAAAAACAGGGGGTGTTTGAAGATTTGGTCAAGAATAGCCAAGTAGAACCGGCATAAACAAACATCAGCGACTTCATGGTACTGCTCTGGCTGCCTAGGGGTTCGTATTGGCCAGGTAGAGCCGGGACGGTGGGACACCAGTACAACTATACTAGGTTCTTTTCTGTACTCTTACTATTACTATGACTATTACTATTGCTATTACTAATACTATACTATACTATACTACTGATACCACGGCAAACTAGGAAAGGAAAGGAAACAGATGAAACAGCAAAATAGTTGAAAGACTGTAGCTGGGTTCAGAAGCTAGCCCTTCATGGATTTTGTTTCTGAAGCGTCCCAATCTCTATGACATTTCTCCCGGTGCGGGCGGACCCAGCCGCGTAGCGGCGTGAATAAGTTGGACCTAAATGAGGAAGCATAGAGCAAGAGAGGCACAAATCTAAAAAGCAGAGAACAAATAGGAAGGCAAGAAGAAAAGACAGAAGCAAGGATACGGCAATAAGCATCAATACCGCAATCTGAAGAGGTAAGGCGCACTAGACAATTAAGAGCGTTCAAGGGAGGGTGGTGGGGAGGGGGTCGAGGGGAGGAGGGGTCGGGGTGGAGGCGGCGGGGAGTGTCGAGCGGCCTATTGTTCCAGTCATGACTTGTCATGACAGGTTTTGACTTTCGTAAACATTGGGGCTCAAGTGTTCGGCGGTAGGCGATTTTTTTGTTTGCTGTGTGATGGAAGGTGGCCAATTGCCCACCGATGCTGGTGAGGCTGCTGAGCTGCTGAATGCGCTTGGCAGCCTCAGCTTGGTTGGCAGTGAGCCTAGGAAGTGAGGAGTCACTCGCTGCGCAGCTGGCCGACTGGATGGGCATCCCAAGGAAGGCTTGGCACGTCAAAGCGGCTGTCATGATGGAAGATCTCGAGGCGAGAGCTGGGGAGACCAGGCAGCCAGCTCCATACAGGGAATCGGGGATGCCCAGCAGGCTGAGGAGGAGAAGAGAACACGATCACTTAAAGAACCTGGAAGAGGAGGGGGAGAAGCCTCTCGACCCTATCAATCCACCTTTCCGGGCGGGCTTGGGCATCCGAGGAAGGTTTTGGGGGTTCCCTTTCATGATGGAGGTGGACAGTGGACATGCTTCTGGTGAGGCATAGCCTTGAGGCGGAGAAAGATGCTTTCAGGATGGCGAGAGGGGGAGATGGCTTCACATTGGTACAAAACCCGCTGTTCTTGAAGAAGATCAGGGAGTTGATTGCGGTGGACTTGATGAAGGAAGTTTAGACCCTGACTTTGAGTTCTTGGAGTTGGCAGAGACTGGATTTCTCAGAGCAGCGGAAATGGAGCTGAACATCTTGATGGTCAAGATGACGGAGGAAGAATTGAGGGTCCGATCGCCGGCAAGAAACGGGTCATTCACGACGCAACCCATGGAGTCAGAATCAATCACCGTGACAGGGTGCGGACGCCAGGGCCGCAGATTCAAGTACCAGAGATCTGAATGGCTCTCTGGCGCGCAAGGCATCGAGCGCCTCACTATGGCAACTATGCTACGGGCCTCTCTTGGAAGAGGATGGCGTTGGGTGGTGGAATGGATAACGGCGCTATCGAGAGTTTGCTGCAGGGCTTTGCAGCATTGGCAGTGGCCCCTTCTTGGGCCCCTTTACGCACGGCGCTCTTCAGTCGAACAAGGGTGAGATGTCAATTCCATGGGCCGTGTTGTTCATTTTGGCATGGATCGAGAGGAGAATGAAGTTGGGAGGAAGACTGGAGAGGGTCCGCAGTCCACGACAGTAGTCCTCTCAGGTGAAAGCCCGTATTTGGACAGGTGCCAGGGCAACGGAGGACAAGTCTTAGTTTGGATAGAGGAAGGTGCAGCGCTGGAGGCGATGGAGGTGAGCGCTCCTTCCTTGGCTCCATCTCAGAAAACGCGATCCAAAGAGGGTGATAGCGGCATTGGAGTTCGTGAAGAAAGGGCTTTCGACAAACTACCCAATCACCCTGCTGGTGATTGAGTTAGCAGAGACACTGAGAGCCACAGACTCCTTCGCTACTCCTACTTGGGTACCGAGGCCTTTGACATGATGTTGAGAGAGGAGATGGTTGAAGAGAAGATGGGCTAGCTGTGGGGCAGGGTGCCTTGTTCGAAGAGATCAAGAAGCACAAGGAGGAAAAGAGAGAGGGGAACCCAAAGGTGACGAAGAAGACGCAGAAGTTCTTCTCAAGGTGGACCTCCTAATGTTACCTTTGTTGAATCCATTCGTGACTTGTCGTGACAGGTTTTGACTTTCGCAAACATTGGGACTCAAAGTGTTCGGCGGTAGGACGCATCCTATGCACGGCAGGATCCTGAGACGCTCTTGGGACGGAGAGTTCAGCCACTGGGACTCTTGCTGAAAACAGGGGTGTTTGTTGCGGGTTGCTTTTCCTAACGCTTACCTTTGTTTTGTTGAAACTCATATTTTTCTTACATTGCATTGTCTTTTGCCTATTTTCCTATTTTATATATTCCTATAATGTTGCCTAATTTCATCAAGGTTTTTTGTTTTGCAGTTTTTGGAAAGGCGAGACGCGTTCGGGTCAGACCGGGTCCAGACCCCGGACCTGTAGACCCCCCGGCCGCGGCCGAGCGCCCCCACCCCCACCGATTTCCGCCAAAACCCAGCTCCTGTCTTTGTTCATGGTTGGGGTTCCTTGTTTTCCTTTCTGTTCCGACTCTTGTTCCTTTTTTCTCTTTTGCGCGCCCTACTGTTCTTCTATTTCCCCACCTGTCAGGTGAGGGTTGTTAGATTTTACGTCAGCCCCATCTCCTCCTCCTCCTCCTTCTCCTCCGCGTCCTCCTCCTCCGCCTCCTCCGCCGGACCTCAACACGACCATCCACGACCAGTGTTCCCTGCCGGACCTCAACCACGCGGACCAACCACGACCATCCACGCCCAGTGTTCCCTTCCGGACCTCAACCACGACCATCCACACCCAGTGTTCGCCGGACCTCAACCACGACCATCCACGCCCAGCGTTCCCTGCCGGACCTCAACCGCGAGCTCCAGACCCAAGTGTTCCCTGCGGACCTCAACCACGACCATCCGCGCCCAGCGTTCCCTGCCGGACCTCAACCACGACCATCCGCGCCCAGTGTTCGCTGCCGGAACTCAACTGCGAGCTCCAGGCCCAAGTGTTCCCTGCCGGACCTCAACCACAGCACACAACCACAACCACAATCACAAACACATAACCACAAACACAACCACAAACACACAACTACAAACACAACCAGAAACACACAATCACAAACGCAAAATCACAACCACAACACACAACCACAAACACACAACCACAAATACACAACCACAAACACACAACCACAAACACACAACCACAAACACACAACTACAAACACACAAATACACAATCACAAACACAACCACAACCACACAAACACAACCACAAACACACAACCACGAACACACAACCACGAACACACAACCACGAACACACAACCACAAAAACACAACCACAAACGCAACCACAACCAACCACAAACACACAACCACAAACACACAACCACAAACACATCCACAACACACACAATGACAAAGACACAACCACAACTACAAACACACAATCACAAAGACACAACTACAAACACACAATCACAACCACTACCAGTACCACAAACACACAACCAAACACACAGCCACAAACACAACCACAAACACAATTACAAACACACAACCGCAAACACATACACAAACACACAGCCACAAACACAACCACAAACACAATCACAAACACAGCCACAAACACAACCGCAAACACATCGACAAACACACAATCACAAACACACAGCCACAAACACACAATCACAAACACAACCACAACCACAACCACAACGCACAACCACCGCACACAACCCGAGGACCCGCAAGCAAAATCGAGAACGACAATACTCACGACCATGGCAACATGCTCCTCACTATGGCGTCAAGACAAATGATTGAAATGTCATGGTGGGGACAGAAGTCCTGTCTTACAAAATGCCCTCCAACACCTTCAGATCACCCATGGACCCCATTTTGTAGAGGCCAAGTTTCGTTGTCAATCATGATTGCACTGAGGCCCCAGTTTCTAGTAGAATGTTGGGTTTTTTGTCTAGGACATGGGACTTCCATGCCCGGCATTTTGTAGAGACCGTGAGCCCCACGTACAAGCATTCTGTAGAGAATAAGCGTTTCATATCTACAAAATGAG